CTAAGTCCGCATCATGTATTGGGATGTGCTGGTATGATTGGATGGGGTCCCGGGGGCCTCGGGTGCGAATCGGATTGGAAACGGATCGAGTTTGGACTTGGAAGGATTGTCGAGGCAGCTGAGATCTGGTGCAATCGCACCTGCGTAGAATGGGCCGCAGATGCGAGTTCGCGGAAGCGGCCAAAAGGGTTGCATAAGCGGAAGGAGTGAGGTTGGCCGGATCTGCAGGTGCGAGGAATTTACCGCACCTGCGAGCTCGCAGGTGCGGGTAGTGGAGCGCAGAAGCGGAATGGGGCCTGGGATGAAGATGCACAGAAGCGGAGAAAAATCTGCAAAAACGGACTTGCAGAAGCAGAACCTTGTCCGCGAAAGCGAAGCGCTGGAGGCAGTGGGGTGTTCGCAGATGCGATGGTTGGACCGCACCTGCGGGACTGCAGATGCGGTCAAGTGGCCGTAGGTGCGATGATCGCTAGGCATTGGTGCTTTTTAATTGAGACCTTACTCTCATTTCTCTCATTTTCTCTTGGGTTGGCCGAAGTTGAGGAGCTATTTTGAGGGATTTTGCTTCAAGCAACACGAGGTTATTACAAGTTAAATACTTGGATTATATATGGATTTTTACATGGAAATTTATGGAACTTCTTGGAAATTGTGGGATTTTAAGAGGAAAAACCTAGAATTGATAATTTTTGTTTTTGATCATGATTTTGGAAATAAAATTAGGAATAAATTATATATTTGAGTTCATAATATTATGGGTAATGTTTATCTTCAAAAATTTTCGGAATGCGGGAACGTGGGCCCGAAGGTTGATTTTATTAACTTTTCGAGCAGAGTTAAGAATTGTTATAAATTGTTAAATTGTAAGCATTGGGTATATTTTGATTGAATTGCATGTTGTTTAATTAGTTTCGGATCGTTTGGCTTAAATTGAAGAGTTAGAGAGGCGTTGGAGCCGGTTTTGGAACTTCGGAGCGAGGTAAGTCGCTTGTCTAACCTTTTGAGGGGGAAGCTACCCCTAGGTGATATTTATTGTTATGTGCAACTAGTTTTGGGTGCTACGTACGCACGAGGTGAGGGGAGTCTGCATGTAGCTAAAGCATGTTTATGTCCGGGTATACTTTGGACTTTATCATGTAATATTTGAATTGTTTGGACTCATTTTGCTAGCTTAATTAATTGAAATTTTAACTGAAATTGATTTAGAAACATATAAATATATTAGACCGAGCTTTATAACCTTGAGTTGTTGGCTAGTTATTTGAGAAACGGTAAAGATTATATTCACGTTGTGCTCATGTACTGTATTGTAAGCACGTGTCTCGTAATTCGGTAATTTCCTTCCTTTCTTGTGGAGCGGGCCGAATGCCTCGATAGTATAAGAGATGCATCTATGGTTCGTGTCGCTCGACTCTCGGCAGTGTACATATTATTTTAAATCGGGCCGAATGACCTCGACATAATCGTGCGTTATGTCGCTGGTAGTCCGAACACTCACGAGATTATCTTTCTGCCGATGCCCAGCATTTTATATGGTATTCCTTATTCACTGATATTGACACTTGACATTTCTGAGCCGTTATAGTAGAATACAAGATTGAGAAATTCATACTTTGAAGTAAATATTTGGAAGATTATGCTACTTACAGATTTACCCATCATCGTTGTGCACATCATATCTATTATGAATTATTATATTATTTTATTGGACCTCTAGTAAGCGTCAATGTCGACTCCTCGTCAATACTTCTCCGGGGTTAGGCTAGATACTTACTGGGTACGCGTTGATTTACGTACTCATACTGCACTTCTGCACTAAATGTGCCGGATTTGACAGGTTCATTGGGTGATTATCTTGGCGCGCAGGCGCAATTGTTGAGGAGACTTTATGTGAGATGTATTCCAGGCTATACATCGCAGTCTACTGAGTCACCATCATACTATTTATTTTATTGTGTCTCATTGCACTCTAGACAGATGTTGTATTATTATTGTACTCCTTAGTAAAGGCTCGTGCACTTGTGACTCCAGGTTTTGGGATATTCTAGGAGTTGTTGATATTTTGCTTAGCATTTACACACTTATATCATCTATTCTGTTAAAAATTATAAATTCCCATGATTGTTATGCGTTGATTTATTTATCTAATAAAGAGCTACGATTTCGGAAATAATAAAATTCATAATTAAATCGGCAGTTCACAGTTGGCTTGCCTAACGACGACATTGGACGCCATCACCACCTATAGTGAGTTTTGGGTCGTGACATAGCTTGCCTCTGCGCCCGAATCTCATGACTCCATTCATAGAGGACACCTTCAAAAAGACTTTTTCTCCATTCATGAACTGCAAATCACGAACTCGCTTATTCATATAGGAGTTTGGTCTGCTTTGTGCTGTTCGAAGTCGTTCTTGTATCAATGCAACTTTCTTCAAAGCTTGCTGAACCAAATTCGGACCAATAGTTGTGCTTCACCAGGTTCAAACCACCCAACCGGTGAACGACACTTACGATCATATAGAGCTTCAAACGACGCCATCTGTATACTCGACTAGTAGCTATTATTACAAGCAAACTCTACTAACGACAACTGATCATTCCAATGTCAACCAAAATTAATCTCACAAGCTCTAAGGTGTGCTCAACTCAACCTGAGAACCCAATGACTTCTATAAAGACTTCCAAAACTCAGCAGTAAACTGTGCACCCCAATTTGATATCATAGAAATAGGCACACCATGAAGCCGAACTATCTCACGGAGGTAAATATATATCTGCTAACTGTTCTGCAGTATGAGTAACTCGAATTGGTAAGAAATGAGCAAACTTTTTGATTATATCCACGATCCCCCATACTGAATCATCTATACTATATTAAAAGTTGGAAGCCTAGAACTTAAAAGTCAAATTATATAAATACCTCTCTTATATTTTTTGCTAAATACCCTAATACAGTATATTAAAAATAACATTTAAATAAAACAAAAAAATGATTTGATTTAAGTGACTTTTCTAAAAAGTTGTGTTTGTTCTCATTAACAACTAAAGGTTTTTTCCAATTAGTTTTAACCGGTGGCTTGGAAAAACCTTACTCAACCCTTGATTTGAAGGAAAAAAGAAATTTTCCCTATTTAATGTGTGTCTCTTGCTGTCAAAGTGTAAAATGAAACAATATGTCAAATAAAGCCATAGGAATTAATTCCAAATAATAAAGCTTCAATCTTTAGTCAAATTCCTAAAAGTCAACAAAATTCAACCTAGGCCCACATGGTCAAAACCCAAGTCAAAGGGTAGATCTCAATTACCCATAACCCCATGAGTCTAAATATGTAATTAGATTCCAAAACCGAGTCCAAATCCACTCCAAATCCCCAATGTTCACTCCCTTAAGTTGCACATAAATACCATAATTTTTCACTTTGAAATTCCAAATTTTAGGTGTATAAATCCACGAGAAATTAAGATCTATATAACTAAATCCAAGTGAAAATTCCTTACCTCCAATGTAGTACTGAAATTGTTCTTCAAAATCTCATCCTCTAGAAATCTAGGGCTCAAAATATGAAAGAATGGGCAAAATCCTAAAATATAGCACTTAAAAGTCTTTCCCAGGTAAACTCTTCGTGATCGCGGTTCAAAGCTTCGTGATCGTGAAGTACACAATGCAGTTGCCTAGTAATCACCCTATGCGATCACATATGTATCCCCGCAATCGTGAAAGTTAATCTTCCAAACTTCCGCGAACGCGAGATTCTCTTCGCCAACGGAAAAACTAACATTCCCCTTACCCACTCTGACTCTATGTGAACGTGGGACCAACCATGCTACCGCGAGACCAACCATGTAAATGTGATGAAAAACTTCCTTCCTGACTCCCTGATAGCATAGAACCCGCAGGGTCCTCCGAACCCTATGCACCACCCCTAGTTGAACCATGCCCTGTGGGTGCTCGAGTATCCGAGCCAGAGGATGTGATGCAAAAGCTACTAAACTGGCTGGCTACACCATACCTCTACTAATATTCTGACAGGACGAAGGGAAGTCTCTCTGAATATGGACCCTAAGACCACACCCGTAGCATAGGGAAAGGTCCATGCAGCATAATCTCAAGTGCATCTTCCCTCACCCAGGGCATGAGTGCCTCTGCTGCGGCTAGAATCTCCTCCCTGACTGACCCTTCTAATAGGATTCCCTATTTCCCTGACTAGGCCTGAAATGGCTACACTGCTGCTGATTGGGCCCTAGTGGTGGTGCACTGGCTGAAGATTGAGAAAAATACTATGTTGGTTCCGATGACCCTCCCTTGAACATTGCCTTTCCACCACTACCACCACTGAAAGAACCACCAAAGTTGCTTGCATACCAGGCCTTCTTGTGACTATCTCGCTTCATTCTGTTCTTTAGCTTTTGGGTCTCTGTTGCCTGAACAAATGCCATATTCCCATAGTTTATATCAGGATTTCAAGGCGGTTGTAGTGGCTTCGTTGATAACCAAAGGACTAAGGCCTTGCAAAAATCGGCGCACCCTAGCCTCTATATTAGGCAACATATAAACATCATATTGGAATGATCCGCAAATTTCAAATAGTAGTCCCACACACTCATACTTCCTTGCTTCAAGTTCTCAAACACGGCGACATGGGTTGCCCTAGTCTCAGTAGGTAAGAAATGATCCATGAAAGCATCGACAAACTCGTTCCAATTTGCCAGAGGGCTATCCTCCTCACAGGACTCCTCCCACAATTCAAACCATGAATACGCCACCTCTTTCAGGTGATAGGAGGCCAAATCTACAGCTTCTGTCTCAGTGGCACGCATCATACGAAGAGTCTTATGCATCTCATCAATAAATGCCTATGAGTCCTACTAGGGATTAGTACCCGTGAACAGCGGAGTATCCACGAAGGAATCGGTTTCCCTAGAACTGGATGAATCCCCTTTGTGGCTAGAGAAAGTAGACGTGGCATTTAATCTTTGGGCCTGGGAAGCCACTATCTGAGTCAATGAGTGGATGGCTCCCCTAAGGTTCCCATCAGAAACACTAGGACCGGAGGTGGAACTGGAGTATTAGTTGGAGGAGGAATATGTATATTCTCAGCAAGAGTAGTAGAATCAGGAGGTGTCGTGGTTGGGGGAATGTCCTCACTCCTTGGGTTCTCACCAGCAACATCAGGTATTATATTTTCTGCCACTATTAGGGTGGCATTGGCCCCTTGGCCGCTTCTCGCCTTCTTCTTAAGCGCCATGTACTAAAAAATTAGAACAACGCAATAATTAAAAATTAACAGTTTTATAAGCAGCTCTATCGCACGATCTAGAATATCAAAGAAGGGTGATATTCCTAAATGCCCAAGTAGCCTCCTAATTATAGATGTGGTCAACTTCACACCGATAGTAGGGACTCTACTAGACACGGTTCCGAGACATCTTAGGACACTTTAAAAACTTAGGCTCTGATATCAAGCATGTCACGGCCAAACATTGGGGAGCGGGACCAGATTCAACTGAGATATCCCAGTCAAGCAAGCCTACTTGATGCCTACTAACCAACCTTGCCATGAATCATTCAAGAATAAACTACAAGAGATAGTCAATCAAGGGGATAAAATGTACAACACCAATTTCACATTAATTAAAGAATTTCATGTTTTAGATGACAAAATAATACAAACCCTTAGATTACAAGTGGGGATAAATGACCAAAATAGCATTTTAAAGTTCCCTTCGTACTAACATAACCCACAATACGTCTAAAGAGTATCTATGTAAATATGAGAGTTGTATGGAACTTGCCGGTGATAAGGCCTCGGTTATACCTCAAAATAATAAATAGAGTCTATACAACAAAGGCCCTAATATGGAGTAGGGCTCACCGAGTAAGCTGAGAAGAGGGTACACCTATCAAGAAGCTACGCCACCTACTGAGGAACCACGTGCATCCACTAAAAATGTAGCCCCCCCCCCTCCGGCAAAAGGGACGTTAGTACATATGGAATGGTACTAGTATGTAAAGCTAAGTACCCTCACATGGAATGGAATGCTCAAACATGAAGAAAGAAACATGAAAGTAGTAGGAAGAATCAATAATATTTAGATGCCATATTAAAATGAAATAAATTTCAAATAAGCATTAACAATTTTAGTTGGGAGATCATTAGTTTCCAACACACCACCATGCACGTGGCATGGAGTCTGATCTCGGTATGACCGGCTAGGACATCTCATCCCAATGTATGTGGGTTGACATAGCAATGCAAAACCACAATGTGCGCGGCATGGCATCCAATCTCCGCCCGATCTATTAGGTCGTCTTACCACAATGTCGTGTGGCTCGACATGGTCTTTGCTAGAAATCAATTCATCCCAATCAAGGGAAAATAGTCTCAACATAAGACAACGAGGGTATGTTCCTCAATCATCTCCTACACCGGCACGTGTAGTTTCAGGCTTGGGCCTTATAATCCACCCTTCCTTGTCTGACCTAACAATACTCCCAAAAATATTTCTATTTGAAAAGAAATATGTTCATCTCATAGAAATTCATAAATTTATTTCACCATCCCATGAGTCTTAACACATATTTCATACATAAATAATCACCATAAATTTATTAGAGATGGTAGACATATCTCTTGTTGTGGAACTCTTGAAAATCCCAACTTATGGTATTCTTGACAAATTTGGGAATTTGAATGAAAATCTATGCATTTCCAGGATCAATCCTTGTTAATATAAGTGTTTAGGAGTAGTAATTAACTAAAAATACTCCAAAAATATTACCTTGGTTCATGGGATGGATGTATAATACGGATTCCCTTTGGGATATTTATAGAATTCCTATGTGCGTTGCGGCGCACCTGGGCAAGTAAACGTGCAGCTGGGCACGCATACAAGGCAGAAAACCCTTCTTTTGTGCGCTGTCGTGCACTTGACAACCTCAGCGCGCAGTTGGGCGCGTAGATGGGATAGTGTCCAGTAAAATGGCCATAACATTTTGTAGAAATATTCAAATAATAAATAATTTGATGTATTGAAAACTAGACTCAAAGATATTTTATTTGATAGGTAAATCACCACCTAAATCATTATATATTGAGATTTGTACTCATTTAAAATTGGGTCTTGTGCGAATTCATTTGGAATATTAGCTCATTGCCTAGTTTCTAACTTGGCTTAGTTCTAATAGCTAGTGCGTCGGCTAGCTCATTGTGGAATCGAGGAATATACCTGAATTCAATGGATTTGAACCGTTTGCTAAGATCTTCCACATGTTGTCTATATGGGATAAGCTTGATATCTCGAGTTTCCCATTCGCCTTGTGCTTGCCTAATGATCAAATCAGAGTCTCCCATGATTAGTAATTCTTCTACATCCATGTCAATTGCCATGTTCATGCCCATGATGCAAGCTTCATATTCAGCAGTGTTATTCGTACAGAGAAACCGAAGTCGGTTCATAACCGGATAGTGCTGACAAGTGGGGGAAATCAAAATTGCCCCAATCCCAACACCCTTTGTATTTACAGCTCCATCAAAGAACATTTTCCAAGTCTTGATGTCTTCTGGAATTACCTCAACTGATTTTACTTTCTCGTCTGGGAAATAAGTGCTTAGGGGTTGGTATTCATCATCAACCGGGTTCTCAGCCAAATGATCGACCAAGGCTTGGACTTTCATAGCCCTGTGGGTGACATAGACAATGTCGAACTCTGTAAGCAGGATTTGCCATTTTGCTAGCCTTCCTGTGGGCATTGGTTTTTGGAATATGTATTTTAGAGGGTCTAATCTGGTTATGAGATAAGTGGTATAGGCCAACAAATAATGCCTAAGTTTTTGAGCGACCCAAGTTAAGGCACAACAGGTTCTTTCCAGCAAAGTGTATTTGGATTCATAGCTAGTAAATTTCTTGCTTAGATAGTAGATGGCTTGCTCTTTCTTCCCGGTCGCATCATGTTGCCCGAGGACACAACCAAAAGAATTCTCTAGGACCGTCAAGTATAAGAACAAAGGCCTTCCAGGCTCAGGCGGGACCAACACCGGCGGATTTGACAAATATTCTTTGATTTTGTCAAAAGCTTCTTGACACTCATCTGTTCATTTAATCACTGCGTATTTCTTTAGTAGCTTAAATATGGGATCACATGTGGTCATAAGCTGAGCGATGAACCTACTGATGTAATTCAACCTTCCCAGCAAACTCATGACCTCTTTCTTAGTTTTCGGAGGTGGCAGATCTCGGATAGATTTTATCTCTGTTGGATCTAACTCAATACCCCTCCGATTGACTATAAACCCCAGGAGTTTCCCAGATGGAACCCCAAATGCACATTTAGCTGGGTTCAATTTCAAGTCATACCTGCGCAGACGCTCGAAGAACTTTCTCAAATCTTGCACATGGCCTTCTTGTGTTCTGGATTTAATGATCACGTCATCAACGTACACCTCGATTTCTTGGTGCATCATGTCATGGAAGATGGCGGTCATAGCTCTCATGTAGGTTGCCTCGGCATTTTTCAAACTGATTGGCATGACCCTGTAATAGTAGGTCCCCCACGGTGTGGTGAAGGTTGTCTTTTCTGCATCTTCTTCATCCATCAAGGCTTGATGATACCCAGCATAACAATCCACAAAAGACTGTACTTCGTGTTTGGCACAATTATCGACAAGGATGTAGATGTTTGGTAATGGGAAGTTGTCCTTGGGACTCGCTTTGTTCAAATCCATGTAGTCAACACATACATGGATCTTCCCATCCTTCTTTGTTACTGGGACTACATTGGCCAACCATATGGTGTATCGGACTACTCGGATCACACCGGCTTTTAATTGTTTAGCAACCTCTTCTTTAATTTTGTCGCTAATGTCTGTTTTGAATTTTCTTTTCTTTTGTTGGACAGGCGGACAACCGGGATAAGTTGGCAACTTGTGTACTACTATATCGACACTTAGACCTGGCATATCGTCGTAGGACCATGCAAACACATCTTTAAATTCAAATAAGAGTTAGATCAATGCGTCTCTAGTTTTTTCCTCTGCGTGAATGCTTATCATGGTCTCCCTGACCTCTTCTGAATCGCCAAAATTAATTGGCTCAGTTTCATTTAGGTTTGGCTTAGGCTTATTCTCGAATTGTTCCAATTCTCGATTTATTTCCTTAAAAGCCTCGTCTTCATAATATTCGGGTTCTTGATTCATTATTTCATAGTTAGACAGCGTTTTAGGATTTGGGCATGAAGTCCGCAGGTATGTCATGTTATTTAAGTCCGCATTATTAGAACTGAAACGAGAAAGATAAGAAAAATAGCAAAATCAGAAAGAATAACAGGAAAAGATTCATAGACGATGAAATATTGATTTCATTTCATTGAATTTGAAGATAGGAGGGTTTACATCGGAATTTAAAAAGACAACATAAACTAAAAATAATCGAGTTACACCCTGAAATAACTCAGAATGCAGAAAAGATGGCAAGACTGAACTACCGGGATTCCTGCCTGACTAGGAATGGAGTAGCCGGCCAGTTTTGCAATTTAGCATTGGGCCCATGTATTGAACCTCAGCAGTGCTCTAGCCTTCGCCCGGTTGGACCATGTGGACTTCATAGAGCATTTGCCTCATTGCTTCACAGATATCCTCAATTTCATCGGCTGTGAAGGCCTCTTCTTCTTCTTAAATATATCTTGGCTTAACAAAAGATTTGGCGAGGTGCGGGATTGGCTGAGGCAAAACCCACCCATCTTTCTTACGTTTATCGGCCCATTTTTCGTCGGCATCGGTGGCTTGGAAACCTATGCCAAAGAATTTCTTGTTGGCAGCCAAGGTGACCTGTAAGGATACCCCGAGCCCTTTTCCAGGATTGTACCCATGTTTGATCATTTTGCTAGCGACCATGATTGATGCGCTTGATAAACAACGTTGAGGACACGGGGTTCCTTCCTCGCACTGGTCGGCGATCACAATTTCAAAGGCTTGGTAGACGATGTGCTCGCTTCCCTCTCTTGCCTCGAGGTATGTTACTGACGGGTCCCTGTAGATTGACTTTTCATCTTCTCCATGGACCACTATTTCTTGGTTCTTATGTTCGAACTTGACCATTTGATAGAGAGTAGAGGGCACGGCTCCCGCTGCATGGATCCATGGTCTTCCTAATAAAAAGTTATAGGACGTGTTCATGTCCAGAACTTGGAATGTTACTTCAAAATCTATGGGGCCAATGGTTAGGATTAAGTCAATCTCCTCTATCGTTTCCCTCTTGACACCGTCGAAAGCACGCACGCAAACATTGTTTGGTCTGATCCTTTCCGTCCCAATTTCCATCCTCTGCAATGTTGATAGAGGGCAAATATCGACTCCGGACCCGCCGTCCAACATGACCCTTTCCACATAACATCCCTCACATTTGACAGTCAAGTGAAGGGCCTTGTTGTGGGCGACTCCTTCGGGAGGCAAGTAATTTCGGCTAAAGGAGATTTGGTTGACCTCAAAAAATCGCTCTGCGATTCTTTCTAACTATTCAACCGTGGTCTCAATTGGAACATACGCCTCATTCAGCATCTTTAGAAGCACCTTTTGGTATTCGTCTGAGCTCATCAGTAGAGACAAGAGTGAAACCTGGGAGGGTGGCCTTTCTCAGTTCATCAAATACAGCATACTCCGGAAGAATTCCTCCGCAGTTACAGGCTTTTTGAGGGGGAAACGCTTCTGCTTGGTTTTGATCAATTCTTCTGGGTTATGATACTTCCCAGATTGGTTTGTTTCATTCACTTCCCCCTTAACTTCCTTCCCTTTATAACAATTGTCTGATTGTAGTTCCAAGGGACGACAGTAGTGTCTTTTATGGGATTTTGTGGCATGCGGCTAATGATCAAAGGCTCATCCAGCCTAGGTGGAATGACTAGACTCCGTGCCACGTAAGTCCCTTTTGGTACATATACTTTTGGTAGATTTGGCATGGTTTTCCTCTTCTCCAATCTCTTGGGAGGGCTTAACATGAGCTATCCCTTTCTGGGGGCTCTTGGGACGTAGAGAATGGCCTCTTTGGCAGGTATTGCCTCTGTCTTTGCTTCCCCATCCTTTTCTTCATTTTGGGGAGTGGAATTCATCTTTTTCTCATCCCTGACATGTTTTGCCACTGCTTTAGGTTTCTTCTCTGAATCAGCAATGACAATAATCGTTTTTAATGCAGGGTCGAATTCTTTGTCTTCACAGATAATCCTGATGACCGACCCGTTATTATGGGCTAGTAACGGGTTGTTGGTTACATTGGGGACTTCCTCATCCCTTAACACTACCCTCTTCTGTTCGATCAGGTTCTCGACTGCTCTCTTAAGGGTCCAACAATCTTCAGTGTCATGCCCTTTCGCCCCGGAGTGATAAGCGCACCTGATACCTGGCCTATAGGATGGAGATTCTAGGTTCTGTCTGTTCGGAGGTACAGGCTGAAACAGGCCCATTTGGACTAATTTTGGGAAAAGGCTGGAGTATGACTCACCAATGGGTGTGAAGTCAGATTTTTTGGGTGGTTCACAGGGACGGGTGTTATATTGGTAATTATTCTGTGGTAGACGGGGATTATACGGGGCTTGGTGAGGAGGGTTATTTCTTGGAGGTGGAGATATGTTCTGATTGTAATGTTGTTGTGGTCGGGTGTACAGTTGAGCGTTCATTTCTGCATAAGGATGAGGGGCCATAGCATAGGCTGTATCCTGGTGGGGGTAATAATGTTGCGGGCCCCTAGAAAGTGGACCAGAATAATTCCGGGGTCGCCGAGAGTTTCTTAATCTCGAAGCCATCATGGCTCCCTCTTCTTTTTTTCTTCCGGCTTGCTAAACTTCCCGAGCCGCTCTGAATGGCTTGGGAAGTGGCTCTTAGAGCTGATTGACTTAAGATGCGACCTGTTTTTAAGACGCTTTCTACCAATTCTCCAATTTTGATGGCCTCCGTGAACGGTTTGCCCATTGTAGACATCATGTTTTGAAAATAATCCGCCTCTTAGGCTTGTAAGAAGACACTGACCATCTCGGCCTCATCCATTGGGGTTTTTACCCTGGCCGCTTGTTCTCGCCATTTGATAGCGTAGTCCTGGAAGCTTTCCGGGGCTTTCTTTTTGAGGTTAGACAAAGAATTTCTATCCGAAGCGATGTCCACATTGTATTGGAATTGCCTTACAAAGTTGCGGGCCAGGTCATCCCATATGTGCCAATGAGAGATATCTTGGTCTATATACCATTCAAAAGCAATTCCGGTGAGGCTATCTCCGAAGTAGGCCATTATCAGCTCCTCTTTTCCACCAACTCCCCTCAGCTGGTTACAATATCGCTTTAAGTGAGCAATCGGGTCTCCATGCCCGTCATATCTTTCAAACTTTGGCGTCTTAAAGCCCACAGGTAAATGCACGTGAGGGAACATGCATAGATCAGCAAATGACACGCTCTTTTGACCACTCATGCCTTGTATATTCTTGAGGCTTTGCTCAGTGCTTTTCATTTTTTGTGCTATCTCCTCTTGTTCAGGATTCCTCAAGACTCTCTATTATTCTATGGGAGATTCAGATTGTGGGTGTTGAGGATAGAAATTTGAGGTGACCCGAGCGACGTCCAATTGGAACTGGGGAGCTTGGAAAGTGAAGGTGGATAGTTCAAAGCTTTGTCAAGACAGTGTTGGTTGTGCCATACTAGAGTCTAGTGGTGTTGTGAACACGGTAGATGGTATTCCTGAAGATGGTGCCTGGGGGCGAACCTCAGAAGGCATTCCACTGATGTTTGTTTACATGGTGGGGAACCCAAATGGCATGAATGGGTTGGCTACTGAGATAGGGACATTAGTAGTTCCTCCCGTCCTTGGGATCAACTCGGGGAAACTAGGGATAGTATTGGGTGGCTCCCTGCCATTGGACCATGCATCCCACATTTCTAACATGCGGCATCTTAACCTCCTATTCTCCTCAGCAGTTGCTAACTCAGGCTGTGGGATAATTGATGCAGGGCTATCTTCGGGCTCAACGATAGGTAGATGACTCTCTGAGGCCATGGCGATACTTCCTTTAGATCTCGTGAAATAAGGGCGTGAAGCCAGATTACCACCACAAAACCAACCACCTAAAAATAGAACTTGTTCTTTTAAAAGCACACACAACAAACCGGTTAGTTTGAGACATTTAACACATAAGGAATCACATATTGGGGATGCAATGTACCTAAATAGTTAAACGTTTTTCTAAGATGCTTTGCGACGGCTGTGTGTTTCATCCCAGCTTTATTGTCTCCCTCTTTTATTTTATCAACTATTTTCTTTTAGGGTTATGACCGAATCCTACGTGGATTGCCTACGTATCATGATACCGCATGAATCAGATCATTATGTAGTTCAGGAATACCGGGACCGGAGTAAATAAACTAACTCTTTTTTTTTTACTTTTTTTATAACATTCAGACCATGAAATCTTTTAGAAAAAGAAAAAC